CGGCGATGATAATTCCTCCTTGCCTGACTATGAAGTTCAGTCACTACTGTTTTCTTTTTGTCGTTCATTTTCTAGAGTACTCAAACGAGCATCCAATTGACTAATAATTTCAGCGTTTCGATATGATAAATCAGTATTTATTTCTCTTTCCAAGACTTTTAATTTTTCGTTTATAGAGTCTTCGAGAATTTTTAATAATATATAGTTATTGTCAATTTCTTTTCGCAGTGAAGACGTTACTTGATATATTAGTCTTAACTCGTTTTCGACTAAACGTTGTGCAAGTTGTAAATTAACTACGTCAGTTTTTTCTTTTGCATCAGCAACATTGGAAATTTTTCTACCCTGTAAGTTGAAGTGACCTTCTGAGTTAAGTTTAAAACTAATTCCAGGTGGACCTGGAGGTCCTCTTGCGACCCTTACAATTCCTCTTTCATTAAGAAGATGTCCGAACACATCAATGCTCATCTTAAGACTGAGAGAAAGTTGATGGAACACCTTCTTTTATACTTTTCTTGAGCCTGACTAAATGAAACAATAATTTTCAATATATAATTTGCGCTTCACGTAATTCTTCTATGATTGACATAATTTCATTATTGTGACTGGGATTCCCAGCTGCTTGAGATGCCATAAGCAATCGAAGACGGTCAACCAATTCGTTAGGATCATCCCAATAGATATAGTCTGGTTGAAAACTTTTTTTGCAATCATAAAATGTGGTAGTGAAGTGCCAGTTTTCGATCGTCTTTTTGGTGTTTCATTATGAGGAAAAAGTTTTAAAATAATATTGACATATTTAAAAGTTTTACTTGTACGTATAGGTTCAGAAGAACTATAATTTTTTCTGTGAGCATTGGAGATGATGAGAATTTGTTTATAATTATTCATATCATCATCGCTAATGTATGAAATTTCAGATTTATTTTTAAATAACAGTTCCAATAAACCGGAAGTAATATTAAAACGTTTATCACCAACATTTATTAAGTGATCTTTAAAACTTATTGGTGCATTACCAATCTTGAGAGAACCATTTTTAACCTTATATACGCCGTACAACGTATCTAAACATTGCTTTCTATTATGATCTAGCAAGTATATATGTATTTATTAACTACTTTATCATATTCAAAGCCTGGAATTACTGATGTTTCATCTTCATCAGCACTCAAAAAATTCATACTATCATCTAATTCATCTTTACTTTTAATTACCTCCTCCTTCTTTTCTATCTTATGATTTTCATGTTTAACATCAGAGAGGTTAACAATTTTCTCTAAAGGTTGAACTATAGGTTTAAAAGTTTCACTCAAAACATTTTCAACAGCTTCTTTTCCAATTTTTAACATGTTATGTTTCCGTCTAATGGCCTCACTAGCTTTGGCAGTTTGGCGGAGATACTCTTTCTCCTTAGGAAAAATGTTGTTAGTTCAAAGATGTACACTAGACTAATACTCATGGAACCAATCACCTTCTATTTATAGTGTTATAAAGCAGTCAAAACCTTTCCTATATCTCCCCTTATTCAGATTGCAGTCTTTATCAATGACTACGAAGCCATATTTATCAGAGTTCCAACATGTTGAACAAAGCTCACGAAACTTGGTAAATGTCATGTCTGTATTAACATGATCATCATACACATGTTTTAAATTTGTTTCATCCTGACGAAAAAGAACTAATAAATTAACATTATCTCTTACTAAATGTTTGGGAATCCTCGCATATGTCTGACAGAGATAAAAGCAATCAACATTGACATGTCTACCCATGCAGAAGAAAGCTCTTATATTATCTTGCTTTACACAAGCTACGTCATCAAATATAAAAATAGAATTTGGCCTTGCACCTTTTGGGGAAATTACATCTTCATGCTCGCTAAAAGGTTAATATTTAATTCTCTTAACACTACCTATAACTTTTTCCAAAAATTTGTACTTTGGTTGGTGAAGAGATTTTGAGTAGAGATAAATATTCTTAAATCTCAGACCATTTGGATGTAAAATTAGAGAAAGTAGTACATTTGTTTTACCACAATTTGATGGTCCACAAAAAATTGCACGAATACTACCAGACAACAAACTACCATGACGCTTCACTTGCTTCTTATCGTACTGTTCTACAATCGCATCTAGATTCACGACTGGAAGCTTGTGATGTTGTTGCTTGAAACGCATTCTGAAATAGACTGCTGTAAAAGGTATAAATACAACCCTTATATAGCTTACGAGTCATTCTACTTTTAACTTTTATAGAGTGAGGTATGATTATACATCACCGCTCCCGAGGTAAAGGTTTAGTTAACAGGCTTATAAATAAGTTACCATTTGAATTACACATACCTGGTTATCAGTACTGTGGTCCAGGTACTAAATTGATAAAGCGTTTAGCACAAGGTGATACAGGTATAAATCAATTAGACGAAGCTTGCAAAGAGCACGATATTGCATATTCAGAGAATCGTAATAACGTTCAAGCAAGAAACGCTGCTGATAGGATTTTAGCTGATAAGGCGTGGCAACGAGTTTTAGCTAACGATTCCAGTGTAGGTGAAAAAGCTGTTGCTTTAGCTATATCTGGTACAATGAATGTCAAATCAAAATTAGGTATGGGAATGAGAAGAAAAAAGACATCTAAAAATAAGAAGAAGAAGCAAAAACAATTTGTATTAAGAAAAATTGTTGATGCTGCTAGACATTCCATTATTCCGGGAAATCATACTCAATCTACAATCAAAGCTGCAGTTGAAAATGCTCGAAAAGCTATTAGAAGAGCAGGTGGTAGAAGTCAAATTTTAACACCTCGCATTCTACCAGTACCTTCAAAAGTTGGTGGTCTCTTACCATTAATTCCAATTTTTGCTGGACTGAGTGCTCTTGGAGCTCTTGCTGGTGGAACAGCAAGTATAGTGAAAGCAGTTAACAACGCGAATGCAGCAAAAGAGCAGTTGAAAGAAGCTCATCGTCACAATAGAGTAATGGAAGATGTTTCTTTAGGTAAAGGTCTTTTCTTGAAACCCTATCGACAGGGATTGGGACTTTATTTGAAATCTTACTCTAAAGGATTAGGTATAAGGCAAAAAAAAGATGTTTAAAAAAAAAGTTCTCATAAAACTTCCTCAACGAGCATTAACTAACTATGATTTGCTCAAATACGCTAAAGAGTTAAAAATTCCTCATTTTCGAGGAGTATTCATGCGAAATGAGTTGCCAATAGGAGGACCTCGGAAAAATAAATCTTCCATTATTAATCTCGATAATAAGGATGGTCCCGCAACACATTGGGTTGCTTATAAAAAGCTTCAAGATAAAGCATTGTATTTTGACAGCTTTGGTAACCTTCAACCACCTTTTGAGCTTATCAGTTATTTAGGCTATAATACCTTGATACAATATAATCAGGACAGTTGTCAAAGTTATGATACTTTTCATTGTGGACACTTATGTCTTAAAATTCTAAGCGATCAACTCAAATTCTCTAACAAATATAACCTATATAAATACATGTAATCATATGTGAGCAATCAGTCTACAAAAAGTCATCATCATGGATGAATCATTTACTCTAACTATTTCAGGTAAATCATCTATACACTGTAAAAAACCTCGACTGAATTTTACATCGACGCTCGAGGGTAATAAAAGGACCCTCGACGCTCGTGGTGATTTTACGAACTAAAAGTAAAATTACATTGTCGGACTGAATTTTAATTTGCTGAAATTAAAATTTATTCTGACAAATGAAATTTCATTTTAGAGTTATTATTTTTCAGTTCTATAGTTGTAATTTTACAATCTAAAGATTAATTTTCGTAAAGAATTAGTAAAATTAATTTTTAAAATGAAATCTGAATATTGGTTATATTTAATGCTAAGAAAATTGGATTGAAATAAAGGTTATGTTGTACGGTTCGGCGAAATTTAAAATTTCATAACTTTTCCAGATCATTTTTTCCAAAATTCCACAATAATGATATATTAATGTTATTTAAAAATTATTTCAATTTTGAAAATGAGCTGAAAAAGTAATGAAACCCTAAATTGTACGCGAGACCGTATATATCGTCTATTTGAAAATAAAAATGATTAATGGTAAAATTATTATTAAAAAGCAATATTTATTTAAAATAAAATATAAAATTGTGTATTTTTCTTTGGACGACCAAATTACATAATATACTCCTCTGCTTATCTGAAATAATTAATAATCTTAATTAAATTTAGTGAATTTTGGAAACATTCCTTTTTTGTAATTATTAAAGTTAAAAATATGAATAAAGCAAGATTTTCAAAAATATTTTGAGTTGAAATCTGGAGGATCAGCCTAATTAATAAATTTTTTAATCCTTTAACCCAGTAATTTTTCTATTACTCACCTTAAATAAATTTTTAATAAATCAAATTTGGAAGTTTAAGGGGTTTTCAAGTTCAATATTACTCTAAAATTGATTGAGAAAAAAAATTACACAAATTAATTTTAAAAAATTTTTAAGAAAAATAACTTAAATTGTTGTAAATCTAAAAATCTTAAACATTTTTTGCAGTTAAATTTATTAAGAAATAAAAGAAAAACTTTCTAGTAATATGAAGCTATTCAAGAGAACCGAGAATTTTTAATAAATAATTGGTGCCATAATTTTATCCACAATCACTTATTTTAATTTTTGAAGTAGTAATTAAGATATTTTACCTGTCTTTAAGAAATCTTAAAGATTTCTTCTATTAGCCGAGCATTAAAATTCCAACACTCTAGTGATAATAATTCAAAATCCTGTCTGATCTAAATTGGTTTTAAGAGGAAGAAGATGAACCGGCAACATTTATGTCACGAAGTTTATTATAAAGGCACATAACTTCTTGTAAAGCTATTGTATGATGGCGAGCTTTACTTTTGTACATGGGTTTTATTGGACTCATATACATTTCAATAAAAAGTAACGTTGCAGCAAAATCGTCGTTGTAACTTCTATTAAAGACGTACGTGGCAGCAAACAAAAATTAGTAGGCTTTAATAAACTTTGTCGTTTTGAAAACAGAAATTTCATCAATAGTTACATAATATCTGTTCGGATCTGTATCTGCAAACAAACATGTTGAAATTAAAATTTCAATTTTTTTCAAAATAATTTTGTTCATGATACCTAATATTATAAAAAATACAGGCTTCGCACTTATCTACTAAAAGCTACTATTTGCTACTTTTTCTATAGTTTCCTACTATTTGACTACTTTCTTCACAATTTTTTATATTTAATTTTCCTTTAAATCATTAAAATAGATTAAAATAAAGATGTACTTTTATAATCTTGGTCAGATATCCTAATTAGTTTTAATTCCTAATTTAATTTAATTCCTAATTAATTTTAATTAGTTTTAATTCTACTAATTAGTTTTTAAATATATTTAAAAAGTAATTAGTAATTTAGCTTTATAATTTTTTTTATCCACTAAATTTAAAAACGCTGAAAAAAGTAGCCAAATAGTAGCATACTGTATAGACAAAGTAAAAAAAAGTAGCTTTTAGTAGATAAATTAAAATTTTTAATTCTCAATTTTCTGTTCATTTTCTAAAATTTTTGTATTTTAAAACAATTTTTCCCTCAAATTCTCATTTTTTTGAATTCCTAAGAACATCGTCTTTTGTTGCAATGTATGCTTTTCAAAGATTTTATATTTTCTTAAATTTTGGAATTTCTTTTTTTTTTTAAATTTTCATTTTTAAGAACGATTTTTTCCCTTAAATTTTTCTTTTCTTTTAGGAATTTTAAAAATTTATTTATTTATTAGGGCCGGGCGTTTTTTAAGTCAGGGAATTTTTTTCTTTGGGTTTTAGACATTCTACATAATTGTTGAAATTTAAGAATTTAATTTAACTTAAATAATATTAAAATGTAAATGAAAATCATAATTATTATATAAGTTAATTTCTTACATTTTGTTATGAATTTTAAATTCCGATGAAAATTTTTTGTTAATTTTATTTAATCTTTTTATATTAATTATTAAAAAAAGTTAGTTAAAAATGAAACGTCAATGTCAAACTATAACACTTACTATTTCAAGTGGGTACTTTAAAAAAAACAAAATTATAAATTATATATATTATATAATTATAAATGCAAAAATATAATATTTTTCCGTGGCTACTTTGTCCTACTTTATTTAACTTTAAAGCTACTTTTTACTACTTTCTTTTAACCAACTAAGGAGTGTGAAGCCTGCAAATACTAAAATTAAAAATATATAAATATAAAAAAAATAAAATATTAAATACCTATTACTCGTAGCAGGCAAGGTGTCTCCGGCAGTCCTAAACCAACCAATTTCGCTAAATCGGACATCTGCCTTAAAAATAAATAAATATAAGATGATATATTTTTATAAAGTAATAAATTATTATTTATTACTTATGCATATATATTACTATTTATTATTAAATATGTATTATTTATGTAAATAATTAATTAAAGATTATTAAAATTGTAAAAAAATAAGAAATGATTACTTAATAATGTTAAACGTAAAAATTTTGTCATATTGTTGAACCATTCTATCGGTGAATTGGGTAATTTCGTGATCCATCAACTTCTGGTAATGCCAAAGTAATATATTATAAATAATAAGCGCTGGCCACTCAGTAATAACTTCAGACATCGCTGGAAAGTTGTTTAAATTGTTCAGAAAAAGCCTTTGAGCTGTATATGTAGCATTTAAATGATTAAGGAGATCAAAATTTTTGTCAGCTTCAAGTGTAAGAGCAAAATCCTGAAGTAAATGTTTTCTTTCAGTAATACTTTCCTCACTTTCTCCATCTGGGTGATTCTCGGGCTGCCAATTTTTGCATCCTGCTTGAGTAATTGCCAACCTTTTTTGATTGGATAAAGTGACTTTCTTAGCCTGTTTCATAAAATTGTCTTGACTGCACCTCAGCAAATAATCGTATCTGTTTTTCAACTTTTTCTTTGCGATGTAGTAGCCTTCACCAAATGAGCCTCCTGCATCGTTTACATCTTTGAAAATTTTAGGATAGTCAGCAACCATTTTCTTTGCCACACAAACGAAGGCATTTTCTTTTAAATCTGAACAAAAACCTTTCATCTGATCAACAATTCTTACTATAAAAGTATTGACTAAAAAATTTGTGCGTTTCCCAGATTGTAAGTCACTCCAGTAGACATCTCCTTCCTGAGGCCATAAAATGTTAAAATTTTCCCAATTTACTATGTCAATCGTAATTGAAGTTCCATTTTCGACGTTTTCAAATTCGCTACCACTTTCACATCTGGCAGAAATTTTAGAAGGTGGCCCATTCGTTAATGATTGTAAACTGTTGGAATCTTCGATTTCTTCTGAATTAAAATTTCGCTTCGAGGAAAATTTTGTAAATTGCTAATTAGAACCTGGATCTGTACGGCTCGATTTTTCAGATAAATTAAAATCAGCTTGTTTTTTTGGTCTGTCGAAATTCCAGATCTTAAACATACACTTCATCTGAAAAATAAATTGTTCGAATTAAAAGCGTTTAAACATAAAAGATTGTTCTAAAGGCATAAAATATCAAATAAATTTCTCATAGTTATAGAATAAATAACCTCTGAAAATTTAAACGTTACCCACACAGCACGATATCTTCCTGGAAGCTTCCCGGGAAGATCGACGCGATTCACATGGAAGCAACCAGAACATTTCTAGGAAGAATAGGATGTCCGCCTCACAGGAAGCTTGTACCAGAATCTTACAGGAAACTTTCACCGGAATCTTCAGGGAATCTTCCACCGGAATCTCTAGGGAAGCTTCCCTGGAGCTTCTGGCGGGAGGTACATTTTCATAATATTTTAGAAAGAATGAAATTTCTTTCTTATACTATAATAATATACAAAATTAAAAAAAAAACTTAAAATAATCTTTAAAAATTTTTTAATTAATCTTTCGCCGGAAGCTCCAGGGAAGCTTCTCTGGAGATTCCGATGGAAGCTTCTTTAAAATTTCCGGTGGAAGTTTCCTAGTAGATTACGGTAGAAGCTTCCTGTGAGACGAACATCCTAATCTTTTTAGAAGCTTCCTGGAAGCTTTTATTTGAGTATCGCCGATCTTCCTGGGAATCTTCCAGGAAGATATCGTGTTGTGTGGGTAATAATTCCATTATATTAATTAAAGAAAAATATTTAAAACATTAAATTTTATACGGTTTTATATAGTTCTGTTCGCATATTTAAAAAAATAAATACTCACTGTATTAATTTGAAAGTTAACACATCTTGAATGGTATGCTCTTATTTCAAAATTGAAAATTTCATGTCATAATATTGTTATGTCATATTTTAAATAATTATTAATTTTGCCTAATCTAAACTTATAATTATACCCTGTTCTAACTCCTTAATTTAACTTAGTTAAATTAACTAAGTTGGGGAAAGGATTATTAAATGAATGTTTCTTTAAAAATAAAAATTATTTATTTAAATAAAAGTGTAAATGTTCTTAATTGACAATCAAATATTTTAGAAAATCTATTTAATTTGATTTGGTAAAACTACCTTTTTATTTGTGGTGGCGGAGTTTCCCAATCTTCGTTTCTTGGCACCTGACTTTGATCTTCTATTGAGGTAATAAAGATTTTATTACTGGAAACCTTTTAACTGATGACAACACTTTAAAACTGTATTTTACACTTGTTATGAAGAACTTCTTGTATATATATTTTGGGACTCGATACTATGATCTTTTTACGTATAATTTGGGACTGCCTTGTTAGTGAAAGGTCTCCCATTATATAGTAATATTTTCCAATGTATTTCTCGCAGCGGGACCAGTTCGCCTCTATGGGTAGATTCAATGTCGGGACCTCACAGACACGAAAAATCTTTATTGCTTTTTCTTTTAGTAGTGGTGACTCCATAATAGATTTCCTGGTTTTTTAGATCGTCTTTTCTAATTTTAAATATTAAGAACATCACACCTTTATGAAATATAATAATTTTACATATTGATTTACATTGATTATTTCTGTCTATACATTTAGTTTTGATAACAATTATTTTTGTTTATAAATACATTTGTTATTTGCAAATATTTGTTTATTTATAAACACTCATTTATAATTTAATATTTAAAATTAATTATTAACAACAATTATTATTTATTATAAAAAAATGTGACGGTGACATGATTATATATTTGTTTATTTATAAATATATTTGTTTATTTATAAACAATTGTTTATTCACAAATATTTGTTTACAAATGTTTGTTTATTAAAGAACAATTATTTATTTACAAATATATTTATTTATAAAAGAATTTATTTTATATAACTATTTATTTATTAATTATTATTAATTATTATTATTTTTATAAAAAATGTTACGGTGACGTGACACCTCCCCCCCCAAATCGAGCATGGTGGTGAAACGAAGTGCAACAACATGGTCGACAGTTTTGTTTACATATATTCGTAGATTTTTTTTGTTTGTTTACATAAATTATTTAAACGAAAGTAAGTATATTCGTTGATCTATTAATTACAGTATGAGCGTGATTAAATTCCTTCTTCGTTTTTATTTGTTTACATGGGCTTATAAAAAAAAGATAAGTCCTTTCATATCGAAGTACTAATTTAGAGAAGTTTTACATTAATTTTTTGTTTAATTTTACTTAAACATAACGTTGTTACTAATTTCTAAACATTTTACCCAGAGACGTCGTAATTCTTTTTAATACAGAGTTATAAACTTTATGTTATTACAATATAAATTTGCCTGTCTTGACAATCTATCGTTAATTTAATATTATATATAAAAAAATATATAATCTGTATTATTATTATGATTCTTTTTTTTATGAGAAAAAAAATTCAGAATTCTTCATTTTAAATTTTTATGTTTAAATAAATGTAAACCTTTTTACTTCAAATTGAAGGTTTTAATAATTAATTTTGAAGTTGCAACGAAATATTTCGTGTAATTTTTAATTTATAATGGTATTTTATTTTTTCATTTATTATTGTTATTTTTGTATTTATTTATAAAAAAAAGTTTTTTTTTTTGTTTATTTATTATATTTTTTGTGTTTTTTTTTTGGTGTTTTTGTGTTTTTTTTTTTTTAATTATTATAATCGATGAGTGATTTGAATTTAGGGTGATAGATGGAATATCTAAAATATATATTTGTGCATATGTTATTAAAATTGAATAATGGTAATATATGGATTCCCGGTTAAAAACCTGAAGTGATATATATATATTAAAAAGACTGTTTTTCATCAATAATATTGTGATTTTGGTAAGTATTTATTTTCATTATTTTATTGAGTAAAAAATTTTTTTTATTATTATCATTGAATTTAATACAGTATTTTTAATTTGTTTAAGAAAAAAAAAGGCTTGTTTGGAGTAAGTTTGAAAGGAATGTTTGGAGTAGATAATTAAAAGAGTTTTGGTAGTAAATAAAAGAATTAATTTTACCATAGAGAAATTTATCCTTTTTTTTTTTGGTTTTTCTGAAAAATTAAAAATATTTTATATTCCTTTTCTTGTTTACCTGGCAATGGTAAATCGAGTTATGATGGTGTTAGCCTAAACTAGAACAGAAAAATATATTAGTTTTTGTTCTGTAATTTTGATTTTTTGAGTCTATTTACGTGTACTATTTTTGGTTTATTTTTTATTTCAATTTTAATATTTCCTTTTCCTAAGATTTCTAAAACTTTATGGGGTCCAGTATATTGATCACCAAATTTCTTTGGTTTAGGTCCGCTTAATAAAAATACTTCATCATCTATGTTGAAATTTTGGGGGTTTATTTTTTTGTCATAATATGTTTTTGATTTTTCTTTTGCGGTAATTAGATGTTCTCTAGCTATTCCTCTGATTTCATGTAAACGAGTTATTAGTTTTATTAAATAATCATCGTATGTTTCAAGTTTTTCATGGTCTGCTGGAGATTCACTAGATGGTTGTCTGGCTAGTTTGCCGAAAACTAATTCGTATGGGGTGCAACGTGTTCCTTCATGAATACTAGTATTGTAAGAAAAGGTTGCTAATTCAAGCCAATCGTCCCATTGAGAATTTTTATTTACAAATTGCTTTAAATATTCCGCAAGAACATGATGTGATCTTTCTAGAGAACCATTTGATTGTGGATGAAATGCTGTAGTTTTAAATTGTCTAATGCGAAATCTTTTGGCTAATCTTTTGATGAGATTACTAAGAAAATTTCTTCCTTGATCAGTTAGTACTGCTTTTGGGGAACCAAAAATACAAATAAATTTTTTAATAAAAGCATCTGCTATTGTACTTGCTAATTGATTGGGTAGTGCAATAGCTAAAGAATATTTAGTAAAATTATCTTGTATCGTTAATATATATTCATTTTCTTTTTCTGTTACAGGTAATGGCCCTACTATATCCATAGAGACTTTTTCAAACGCTGTACCTGGAGTATCTGTGATAACCATTGGATTTTTAGTTTTTACGCGCACCAATTTTTTTATTTGGCATTTAAGGCAAGATTGTATATATTTTTGTATGTCTAATTTCATGTTTTGCCAATAAAAATTTTGACGTATTCTGTTGTATGTTTTTGATACACCCTTATGTCCTCCTAACGCCGAAGAATGTGCTTCCTCAATCAAATCTTTTTGTTTCTCTTTGGATGGGAATTGGGTTATTCCCAAACAAATAATTATTTTTAATGAAAAATCGGAAAAATGTCATTTATAATATTTAAAATTTCATTCCAGGATATATGATTTATTTCTGCAGTTTTTGATATACTTATTGAATGTAATTTTAATTCTCTAGCATTTACAGATAATGAGTTTATAGCTGATTTAATAAAATTTAGTTTATCTGTAAGGTTCAGTTTTATATTTGAATCAATTGGTAATACTAAGTGATATTTATTACCACGGTGATATTCCTTGACTTATCCTAAGGTTAAATTTTTAAATTTTGGCAATTCGTTTCTTTGAAAAAGTAATTTTGATCCTGTATCTCTAGGTTCACCTGTTATTGAAGTAAAATAAGCGTAATTATCTTTTCGCATTGTAAGTTGGTCTCTACATTCTATTATGTTTCGTTTTATAGGTAATTGTTCGTCCGACGGAATATCTTGAGAAGGGGGTGGCTCCGGTGGGGGTCGAGATTTATTATCTGTTGCTTGATGTTGTGTATTTTCTATTTCTGGATTAAGTTTAGGTAAAAATATTTCTTCTAAGGATTCACTTTCACTTTCATCTGTAAAAAATTCTTTGTCACTGGAACTAGAGTCATAATTTTCTTCGTTTTTATTATTATATTCTGGGTTAGAAGAATCATTGGATTTATTTATTTCATGATTTTGTTTCTTGGGTCTCCCTCTTTTTCTTTGAAGGGGAGTTTTTCTTTTAATAATTTTTGTTTGTTTCTTCGTATTTTTATATACTTCTTCAGATTCACTAGTTTCTCTTCTTGTATTTTTCTTATTTTTCTTAACGTTTTTCATTTTTATTTCTTCATTGAATTCGATTTTCTTATTTTCTTTGAGATTTTCATCATAATTTTTCCTTGCTTGCTTTCTTGTTACAACTACATTTATTTTGCAGTTGTTTTTAGTGTTTTTTATTTTCTTTTCTTTTTGTTTATTTGATTTTTTGTCGATGGATTCTTCTTCATCGAATTGTTTTTGTTGAATTTGTTGAAATTTATATGATTTCATACTTGATTCTTCATTTGATTCTTTTTCATTTGATTTTTCTTTCTTAAGTTTTTCTTTATTAGAATTATTTTCACTGAATTCTTCATTATTGGATTCTTCTTTATTATTGGATTCTTCTTCATTAGATTCTTCTTCACTGGATTCTTCTTCACTAAATTCGTCTTCATTAGATTCTTCTTCACTGGATTCTTCTTCACTAAATTCGTCTTCATTAGATTCTTCTTCACTGGATTCTTCTTCACTATAGTCTACTTCATCAGATTCTGTATATTTGTAGTAATTTTCATATATGTAATTAATTTTATTAATATTTTCAATATTATCAACAGGGTTACGAGATAGAGCGTCAGCATTTACATTCATTTTACCTGCCTTATGTATTACATCGAATTCGTATTCAGCTAATTTTAATCTCCATCTTGTTACTCTTGAGCAGGGATCATTTGAATTTTGAAACCATACTAATGGTTTATGATCTGTGACTAATGTAAATTTTCTACCGAAAAGATATGGTCTAAAATGTTGTACACAATAAACTATGGCTAGTGCTTCTTTTTCGTATGTATCAAATTTTCTTTTATTATCGTTTAAGGTACGGGATGTGTATGCAATTGGTTTATCTTGTCCAATTTTACCTTGAGAAAGTATGCCTCCAATGGCATATCCTGATGCATCTGTTGTAAGGACAAACGGTTTTGTAAAATCTGGTCTTTGCAAAAGGGGTTCCTCACATAGTTTTTCTTTTAAATTGTCAAAAGCATTTTGTTGTTTTTCAGTCCATAGAAACGGGGTATCTTTTTTTAGTAGTTGTGTTAACGGTGTTGAAATTTTTGAAAATCCGTTTATAAATCTTCTATAATATCCGGCTAGACCTAAAAATTGTTTTATATTCTTTTCATTTTTTGGTGTTGGAAATTTTTGTACGGCTTCTATTTTTTTTGGATCTGGCCTAACTCCTTCTTTATCAATTATATGCCCTAAATATGCAACTTCTGTTTTAAGAAATTCGCATTTGTCTGGTTGCAGGTGTAGGTTTGCGTATCTAAGTCGGTCAATTAATTTATTGAATTTTATTTCGTGTTCTTCTAGAGTTTCTGCATATAATACAATGTCGTCTAAATACACAAAGAGGTCATTTTCGATTAATGAACCTAAGGTAATGTTCATCAGTCTTTGAAAAGTACTGGGGCCATTTTTTAAACCAAATGGCATTCTGTCAAATTCATAATGTCCATATGGGGTTGAAAAGGCAGTTTTATGGGAATCTGTTTCGTCCATTGGAATATGGTGAAAACCTGTTGCTAAATCAAATACTGAGAAATAACGGGCATTAGATATTTGGTCAAGAATT